TAAAGCACCAGAAAATACCAAATCTGGGTACATCCAACCTCCTAAATTTCCTCTGCCACATGCGCACACGCACACACACAAGAAAAATAAGAGCAAATTTGGAAGCAAACTTTCTAGGGTTTTCTACCAGAGCCAAATCGAGTACTCCAATTCGACCATCCTAAACGCTCATTTCCCAAAAACCCTTTCACGAACATGGTGGGAGGGTTAGGATTTAGGAATAGATCCTCACCTAGCTGCTAGAACCACCATTGCTGATCAAATGCACATAGATTTGCAGGAATCCCACCGCGGGAAGAGGGAGAGAGGAGGGGACGACTCCGCCGCCGCCACCGCCGCCGCCGCCGCGGCGCCGGCGCAGGGCCAGGTGGTGGCCGCCTCCGCCTCGCTAGGATTCGCGGCGTGAGGAGGAGAGGAGAGTGAGAGAGAGGAAAAGGTTTTTTCTTTCTTTTTTTTTTTGACGGGAGAAAATATGACCGTTTTTTTTTTGACGGGAGAAAATATTACCGTTGCTTTGAGAGGATAGTGATAGAGAGGAAAAGGTTTTTTCTTTCTTTTTTTTGACGGGAGAAAATATGACCGTTTTTTTTTACGGGAGAAAATATGACCGTTGCTTTAAGAGGAGAGTGAGAGAGATGAAAAAGGTTTTTTCTTTCTTTTTTTTATGAGGACTAGAAAGAAAATATGACCGTTGCTTTAAGAGGAGAGTGAGAGAGAGGAAAAGGTTTTTTTTAATAGGACTAGAAAATATGCCCGTTGCAACGGATTCATTAGAAACTAAATATTTAGCTACTTAAGAAATCTAGGATGTTTTTCTCAGTTGTTCCTCTGAAGGTCCTTTGTCGGTCATATATGTGCGATGTGTGTAGAGGGACCGGGTAGTACAGTCCGACAGAGTCTGCAACCGGACCATTCCGAAATTCTCAACTTGAGCACGAAGGTGAAAGAACTTTAATTTGTCAGCAAATTGGACCCTAAATCCATTCAAATAAAATCATTAGATAGATCCACGGGATTTCACCATAAAGAAATAGATAAATTGAAGCTAAAATTGTGCATGAGTGCGAGTGACAAGAGTGTACGACAACTTATGTCGAGACAGCTTCGGCCAAGTAGAACTTGTCCGCCACCGCAACTGCATATTGCAGTCTTTCACTTGGTTATCTGTCTCACACACCACCGCTATCGCAGGCCCATGGCAGTCGTGCTAGTAGCGCCATCATCAGCGAGGTGCACCGCACGGATCTCCTAGGCCACTCGACGTGGGTGATGTAAGCGGATATGCGGGGAACTGATTGAGCAGGGCTGCGGTTTGCGAGGGACTCGACTGGTGTTTGATACTAATGAAAATGAATATTAAGTAAGGGCATGAAAAACAAGAAGCTATTAGCATATGATTAATTAAGTTTTAATTATTGCAAATTTGAAAAATGAATTTATTTGATATTTTATACCAACTTCTATATAGAAAGTTTTCACACGAAACATGCCATTGCCCATTTAGTAGTTTGAAAAGTGTGCTAATAGAAACCAAGGTGAAATTTGCATCTAAATGAAAAAAGAACCGGCTATTGCTGTGTCAGTGTGTTATCCTGATATATTTTGTCGTGGATTGATCGAGTATTCAATCAAGTTTCATACGTATTTTGTTACCGTCGCTACAATAGAAACCATCTTTCGTAGCAACACCCTTTTATTCGTACTGGCGGATTTAATAAATGCGCGCTTGTAAATATACTTAAGACGGATTGCGGTCACCAACTTTCGCTGGCGGCCACTTAAGATATTTTTACAAGCGGATCTCTTAAGCGACTGCCAGCGCTGGCGGTCACTAAAGAGCACCGCCTTTAAAATCGGCCGTGGTGCATTAAAAAACCACGCATAGCAAATATCCTCAGATCCACTCCTCATTCTCCTCTCCTCAGATCGACACCTCTCCTCTTCTCCTCCCTCACTAACGCACCACCGCCTCACTCCTCTCCTCCCTTCCCACCGGCGGCGGGTCCAATGGCGGCGGCTCCGGCGACGACAAAGGGGAGGGGTGGTGGCGGTGACCGGTGGCGGCAACTCCTGCGCACGGGCGACAAATCTGGTGGTGGTGTGCGGGCTCGACAGAGTGGGGTGGCGTAGGGGAGCCTAGCTCCTCCCATCTCCATATCCAGAGTAGGGTGACGCAGGGGAGTCTTGTCTCTCCGGACTCGGCGGTGACGATTGGTGGCGGCAAAGGGGATGGGGTGGCAGTGGCGACTCGTGCAAGAGGCTGCGGGCGATTGATGATCTGGTGGCAGCAGCCAGGCTCGGCAGAGTGAGGTGCCGCAGGGGAGCCTAGCTCCTCTTCTCTCCAGATCCATAGTGGGTGGCACAGGGGAACCTCCCCTCTCCGGGGTCGGCGGCGGCGACCGGTCATGGCGGTGACCAGCAGTGGCTAGGGCTCGGCGGTGGCAAGAGAGCCATCGTGGCGGGGTTCGTCGATGGATGGGGCATGCGGCCGTGGCGACCAGCGGCACCAATTTTCAATTTTTCTTTACCCCAAAAAATGTTTTCACTGGCGGTCCTCTTAACTTGCCGCAAACGAAGATGGTATTTTTGCTAGCGGTTGTCTTAACATCTCGCCTGTTAAACTCAATTTTCCATGGCGGTCGGCTAATCGCCAGTGAAAATGCATTATTTTCACTGGCTTTAGTTCGCTCGCGGCACCGTCGGCCGCCAGCAAAAAACTATTTTAGTCACTAGCAAAAATGATTTTCCACGATATAGATTGAAAGATGTACGCACGTATTTGGTTGAGACAAGAAGGGACCAGATCACCAGATGGGACAAAGAAACTAAGAAAACTGAAAAAATTAAGTACAGGAAACGCGACGTGCACATACGTACCGCTTGTGCCACGAGCATCTTTAACGTATTAAGCAGGAACACCCATGTGTGGACGCGGATGACATGTTGCTTTACGCGAGAATTGAGATAGATGCGGGCATGTGGGATTCGGTATCCATGTGGTAATTCGACAACATACCGAGCTTTGGCAAAAACAACTTATATTTTTATAATGGCAAATTTTGCTACAGAACATCGTGACTTCGTGGTATTAGCTGTAAGATAACACACGAAGTAACTTTTGGGGGAAGACACTCTATAAACGTGGTAATTTATCAGCGGACATCGCACTCATTAAAATAATAATTTCTGATTGAAGAGAAGAGAAAAATCACGTGAAATATCAGAAATACCCCTGGACCCATATGTCAACCCTTCTCTATATATGACCACCTCGCATTCTTCCTCGAGGTGCCTGACCCCTTCTGTCGAGCTTGACCCGTCGGCCACGTCGCAGCGGGAGGTGGAGGAGGGGCACGAGGAGGAGTTTCGTGCTCAACCAACCCCCTCAAGTCGCCGTCTTCGGCCGCAGCGCCTCCGTGCTCCCGCTCGCCTTCGTCCTCTTTGTTACAGCATATGACGCAGACGGTCGCGGCCCTCACCCTCACGGCGAGCTCCCTGGTATCGCGCTCCTTCTCTGTCCTTGGCCACTAGAAGAAGTGGCGGAACAACTCCCTCTCCCGCCCACCCGCATTGCTTCCCTTCAGCGGCTGCGACCTCCACGAAATATTTTTATAATGGCAAATTTTGCTACAGAACATCGTGACTTCGTGGTATTAGCTGTAAGACAACACACGAAGTAACTTTCATTCTCCTCTCCACAGAAGGGATAGAGAGAGAAGAGAGATGTGAGAGCTGACATGTGGGTCCAGGGGTATTTGTGACATTTCATACGATTTTTCTCTTCTCCTCAACCAAAAATTATTATTTTAATGAGTGCGGTGTCCGCTGACAAATTATCACGTTTATAGAGTGTTTTCCCCCAAAGTCACTTTATGCGGTGTCTTATAGCTAAAATCGCGAAGTCACGATGTCATGTAGCAAAATTTGCCTTTTATAATAGATAAAGGTTGAGAGAATGCTTGTAAAGGAAAGGATTCGTGTCCGTCGTAATATGACCGTTGAGGGTTTTCGGCTTTTAGGGCCGATTTGGGCCCTGTCTTATTTAATCCATGGAAAATGTTCACTTCAATCCATAGAAAATGTTCACTTCAGATCCTTTAAATATAGGCCCAATTTGAATCGTATCTCTCAACGACCGTTGACCCTAAAATTTCTCTTGAAATAAATGGAGCGTAAAGTCGGCGCTATTATTTCATTTAGACAAAACAAAAGGGAGCTACCCCCCCCCCCCCCCCCCAATTGAAGGGACTAGCTAGGTACGCAATATACTCTGCAGCATCAATGTGGGGATATATGAGAAACACAAATAATCTGTTGAATTTTATTTAGTATTGTATAACAATGGTTATATTGAGAGAAATAAGATTCTTTAGAAGCTTAATTTGCCTCTGAAGATTAAGATCTTTATGTGGTACTTACTTAAAGGGGTAGTGTTAACTAAAGATAATTTGGCAAGGAGAAACTGGAATGGGAGTTTGAAATGTTGTTTCTGTATGAAGAATGAAACTATTCAGCATCTTTTTATGGAATGCCATTTTGCAAAGTTTATTTGGAGAGCTGTACAGTTCTCTTTTGGTCTTTACCCTCCTAATAGCATATCTCATATTTTTTATGATTGTCTTCTGGGGGTGGACAAGAAAAATAGGAAACTTATTCTCATAGGAGCTTCTGCTATATGTTGGACTCTATGGTTGAGTAGAAATGATATGATTTTTGACAAATCACCATCTGTTTATATATGCAGGTAATTTTCAGGACAACGCACTGGCTCAGGTCTTGGGCACTGCTACAAAAGTGTGATGAAGAGGGCGAGCGTTTAAAAGTTGTATGTCGTAATTTTGAGACAACGGTTATGCAAATGTTTACCAATTTTGGATGGAGATTCACAAACAGAATTCAATAATTGTGTACTCCTTATCTTGGGTTGGTAGGTGTCTTCTTTTTTTATGTGAGAAACTTTTTATTTTGTGTGTTACTCTGTAATAATTGGCTGTAGCTCGTTGAGCAAAGGCTGGGATATTCTATTCCATTATCTAAAAAAAGTATAATAACTATCTCATAGGATATACCCCATCCATTTCTAAATATATATATAGGACATGTTCGGTTGTGCTTTGCACACATAAAAGTACTGTACTGCAACACGGTGGCACGGTGCAAATAAAGACAGCCGAACACGCCAATAGAGTATGGAAACTTGTATTACAAGTTAGTAAACCTAACCTCCAGAATTATATCTGGAGAGCTTTATTTTATCTTGATAATTCGTATTTTTACTCTTATTCCTAAACGTAGTTCTAACACCTGGATCGGCCTGCTTAGTTCTAATCGGTTCTTGGGTACTCTCATAGATCCATTGTCTAGCCTTTATCCATTGTTGCCGCGTCCGGAAGAGATAGGAGGATGGTGTTCACCGCCGGGACCTGAAATGAAATTAGATTCTAGGCATCAAACCAAATGGAACTCAACATATGGTGCTACAAGATATGCCCATTATTTTGAGGAAAAAAAACACAGAGACCGGGCTATCATCTATTCTAACTATTGCTAAAATTCTTTTACCAATTAAATTGCTACTTTCTCCGATCATGATTATTCGACGTTGTGAGCATAAAGTTCACAACGTTGAATAATCATGACCGATGGGAGTATCATTTATCGCAATAGATCGATTTGGGTGCAAACATACCCTTCATATGTATAGTCTCTTACTCAATATAGCAACATTTATAGCTCTAAATTAGTTTCATTATATCTAACATGGAACATATTTTAAGAGTTTCTTTATTTTGTGCTGAAAATATTACTATAATTTTCTATAAATTTGATCAAAGCATAAAAAGTTTAACTTATAAAAATTTTGAAATGATTTATAATATGAAAAGAAATACTACTACCTTTGTTCTAGAATATAGCGACTAATACCGGGTCTTAGATTGCTGTAATCTGGGACAGATGGAGTACAACTTACCTGGATTTTGAGATAGAATTCGAAGAGACCGTGTTGATATGCCTGAAGCAAATACACGGCCTTGATGCTTCTCCTCGCCGGCGACGAGCTCGCCTCCAGGGCCAGCGCCGGCGAGCACGCATGGCAGAAACGGCGGCGGCAGCAAGAGGGACATCACTAGGATTGCCTGCAACCCAACGCAAAGCCGAGCAGCTCCCATGGTGGCTCACAATAATTAACTCGATGGCCTCAAAATTAACGCTTCTTCAGAAAGACAAACTGGGGGTGATTTGTACAAAAACAAGTTTACAGGTGTTTGGCTACCGCTTGTCCAAATAGCATTGCTCCTTTCAGACTATTTAAATTACCAAAGAAAAGTTGTTGAGTCAATATGATAAATTAATAGAGCTGTTGAAATTAGTTGGTTGATTGGAAATTCAGGCATTTGACTACGGATACCTGGTGTGTATGTACGCAAGAACCAGAGAACATAAGATCCATTCGGAGTAGAAATTTAACGCGACAAAGAAGGTGGACACTACGTACTAATTGCTTAATTTGGAAGGTTTCAACTTTCAACAAGCGTCGATATCATATTAATTTCACGCCGTGGACTCATAGAATTACATTTATTTTGGGATTAGGGGTAGTACTATTGTTCTCCATAACGCAGGAAGACGCCATATCGAAGTAAGGTGCAAAATGAAGGAAAACAGAAAACCAAGTCAAGCATTTACTACTACGACTGCTATCAGCCTCATCGATCGTTTGCACTAATATAGAATCAGCTATTGCCAAAATTTAGATTGTAAAATTGAATTTTTGAGTTGGTTTTATGATATTTTCAATGTAGGTTTATATATTTTTAGAATTGGATTTTAAGTCGCTAGGAACAAACAACTAAAAGTTTTAGAATTGATTTTTTTCAATGGAGGTTTTATGATATTTTAAGGCACGCACGAATCCGGCAGAGGAGGTGGCGCAGGCGAGGGAGCACGTGGAAGAGGAGGCGGCACGGGCGAGAGAGGTAGGGGAGGGGAGGCGAGGCGATGCGGAAGCGGAAGGGCACCCGATATTTTCCCCTCTCATCGGGCGCCCGAGTCAAAGGATTTTCGCTTTTTATCTAGTGGTTGACTGACAACCAGCATGTTTCGCAGAATAAATACGAAGAAAACTTAAGTATGGCAACTAAACATATCATGATATACACAATACAATGTTCTTTATACAGAAGTGAACTTTTTTTTTCTTGGGGAGTGGGGGTTGGTCTCCTTTATTTTCATCGAGTGAAAAATATATGCGCATGCACATCACGCTTATACACATGTGAGAGTACATGATATTTGACACATACTTTTGAAGTAGACGTCCTACTATAAATCTATAAACCTTATATAACCATAAATTTATAAACCCCAATAAAGTCATTTAAGTATCCATATGCACACAATTGTGGTTCCTGAGATTTAAATCTGATGCAAAGGCTGGGATTTATATCCCATTATTCTTTTTTAAAAATAAACCTTAATGGATAGAGTTTATGTCCTAAGACTCTACCAACCCACACCTACTTCCTTGGCCGATAGAGAGACTTTGTTCCTAGCTCTGCTCAAATTCCTAGCAACAAGGAGGGTAGTGTCCCCCATCTGGTCCTCCTAAAACGTAATTCCAAATCAGATTAAGTCGTGCATGCGAAAGAAAATGATAGGAGTATGCTCCTCAGTGAAGAGTTTCACTATATTCAAGTATTATTACAGTTGTGTCAAAAGATAAAAGTATTCTGGTTTTCGACAATATGGGGTTTGGAACTTTGGATCTGATTCTCTCATCAACGGCCTCTCCTTCCATTGCTAACAGGAGGATCGTGCCCACCTCCAGGGTCTGAAAAAATAAATCCCGAGTCAAATAAAACCATGTATTTCGCTTTAAAAAAAATCATACATGAAATACTCGAAATTAAACCATATATTTTTTTGCTGACAAACAATCTGGATCCTCTCAATATATCAGGACTGAACTTACTCGCAGGAACTCCACCAGACAGAAACCGAGGAGACCTTATTGCCGGTGGCTTCCTACGAGTCTCCCGGCCGCCGGCCACTAGCTCGCCGGAGTTGCCGCCTGAGCTGCCGGCGGCGAACACCCTGGGCAGAAACGGCAACGGAAGCAAGAGGAACATCACTAGGATTGCTTGCAACTCGACGCGAATCCGAGAAGCTCCTCCCATGGTCGATCGCTTTGGAAATATTCTTTGAGATGTTTTGGCTCCCAATCTGTGTGTCTCGGATGTCCAAATTACTTGCTCTTAATTTGCAGGGTATTTATAAATCCACAGAGAGTTTGGTGGAATTGGGATGTGTACGTACGTGCCAAACAGAATAGAACAAGAAGAAAAATATTATGCAGAGCCTATCGATCTTTTCATTGACCTTCACAGACAAGACATCGAGAGGTATCAATTTTTTCAGTGAAAATTTTAGTATTTTCTAGTACTCGTGTTAGATGTACTAAATTTTACATTAATAAAATATGATATCCCGATATTTTTAAGTACAGTAAAATCACACGTAGATTATAAGTTTCCAACTGAGGCAGGGCCTACTGGCCTCTCTCCATTTTTTTTTTCTGAGAACAAGTCAGGATGTACACACAACTGCCTGTCCGTGTAATCAAGCTACGGATGTACACTCAGGTTTAGTTCCAAAATAAATTCTTCAAACTTTCAACTTTTCCATCACATCAAAACTTTCCTACACACATAAACTTTCAACTTTTCCATCACATTGTTCTAATTTCAACCAAACTTTCAATTTTGATGTGAACTAAACACAGCCAGTTACCGGTTTATGTTAAACTGGCATACTATATGTCATTTCAAAAAGTTACAATCATGCCTTCAAAGTCGCAACAAGACTCCACTGACCATTGCTCGACTGTAAGTCAATAACAACCTTGCGGCACAAATAGCAGAATATTGTTTCCTAATCATCACCTACGTCAATCATGGCTGCTAGTCAGTGTCTTTGAAATGATCAACAGCAAAAGACAGTTTCAGCTGAAAAATTGACATTAATCTTGAAATTTTACGAAATCTTGCGTTTGCTTTCTTTATAATAGGAGGAGGTATCTGCCCTTTACAAAAAGAGAAAAGGACACATGTTCAGCAAATTCATCTTTCTCATGGATTGCACAGATATACTCAGCTTTCAGACTGAGAAATTTACAAGTTTCGTTTCACTTTCATATGCCTTCTTATAGTCAGCGTCACAGCAAGACCGTTTCTTCATTTGAATTTCAAGAGAAGTGACCAATGCACATGATTAATTCTTGCATAGATATCTAGGATTCTCATTAATAAATTTAGTCAACATAACATCAGAATGAAGATTGACAAACCTTGAAAACTTTAGCACAAAAAATTAACCTTCAGCGAGAAAAATTAGGAAGAAAATTTGGCAGGACTTATAGGTGGTGCAAAGGATGGAACCAATACTACTAGGCAAAGCAGCTGGTTTCATTATTGACATTTGAAATTCTGAGGGAAGTACACATAACAACAGAACAAATACATGAACTGACCAATACACATCACTCTGTTATGAGCAAATTGCATTTTGGATTGGATTTTATTACTAAAATCTCATTTTGAACTACCGTTCACCTAATATTTTTATTTTGGATTAGTTAATTTTATATTTGTTGTATTAATATTGTGAACCATTATATTTATGGATATCAAGATTTTTAATCCTGATAATAGTTATCCACGACTCCATCACCACCACGCATGAAATTCTACAAATATGGTGGGGTTCTCAATTGAGCCCCGGCATTTATCTCCATTTGTGCTACTTGTGTCCCGGGGAGAAGGGAGGATTGTGTCTCCCATCTTCACCTGAAATTAAGCAACGAACTCCAAGTCAAATAAAACCTTGCACACAAAAGAAAATAAAAATTGCTTCTATAGTTCATTGTTTTTTATTATAACGGAAGAAAATTGTTTCAGCCTAATCTATTGTGTTGTCTAGTTCATCACAATAATAAACTCAACAAACTCACCGTTTCATGACAAATCTAACTTTGTACGCAAATAATCAGCTGGATTGAGATTGTCAATCCTGATAATTAATACTTCATCCGATTTTAATATATGACGCCGTTAACTTTTGTCCATACATTTTGACGATTTATCTTATTTATTTTTTTAAAAAAATAATAAATAAATCATGTTTTGAAAGCCCATTTAATAAAATAAATCAAGTCATAACAAAATAAATAATAACCACATAAAACTTTTAAATAAGACGAAAGCTCAAACGTATAAAAATATAATGACATCATAACTTAAAAACTGAAGGGAGTATTACAACTTACCCGCATTAAGAATTCGACGAGACCATGTTGATTTGCTTGAAGCAAAAAAATCATGGCCTTCTTGCATCTCCCTGACTATGCCGACCACTTGGTCGCCGGACTTGCCTTCGCTACTGCAGCCAGCGGCGAGCGCACAGGGCAGAAATGGTGGCGACATTAACAGAAACATCACTAGGATTGCCTGCAACCCGACGCCAAGCCAAGCAGCTCCCATCTAGCCTCACTTGTTGGTTATTGGTGCAGGAAGCTCAAACATATGTGCCTATAATAATTGTAGTAACATCATTCACGGGCATGTCAAGTTTATAAATAGAAGGCAAGTAGCAAGAACTGGGAAGAGTCATATATGTGCTGGACTGAAATTTCAACGCTTTTGATTTTGAGTTTTGAGTCTAAGTCAAGGGTGAATAAATTTGGTTGTTGAAATTGGTGATTGATTCGATAATGACCATTCAAGGACTAGAAAGAAACATGTACTCCCTCTTTTCTAAAATACAAGTTGTCTGTGAAGGGAATTTACCTAATTACAATATCATCATGAAAAATATTAGGGATGAGACCAAGTTATAGTGTATGACGGGAGCCAAAGATCTTAGTAGCATTTGACCGTAGATGGTCGTAAACCCTTTGTATTTACTTCAGCAAGCCGTTTTGGACTCTTTTTTAATGATGTGCATTTCTCCTATGCGTTCAAGAAATAAAATACATACATAAGTATATGAACTTGGGATATTCTTGGTCTAATTTCTTCAGGTTCCGTTAAAACTTCTGACATAACTAATGTAATCATTCGTTTTTATCGACAGATGGAAGAGTAAGGCTGCGTTCGTTTGGAGAACAATGGGAGATTGTTTGTTTCGTTTTTCGCGCGCACGCTTTCCAAACTACTAAACGGTGCGTATTTTGCAAAAAAAATTATATATGAAAGTTGCTTTAAAAAATCATATTAATCCATTTTTAAAGTTTAAAATAGTTAATACTCAATTAATTATACGCTAATAGCTCACCTCGTTTTGCGTATCTTCCCAATCCCCTCTCCCTCAAACACAGCCTAAGTCAAATGTTTATTTGGAGAGATCATGCATGACATCAATCGATTAGTGTCTTATATAGTTAAACATCTATCTTATTTCTATACTGGGGCAGGATCTTACTAGGTGAAGGCTTTGTATGGAGGGTAATTATCTATGTAATCCAGATTCTACTCAGTCATCGGTCATGTATATACTCATGTGCACGTCATAAAAAATTTTTGTTGCAATCCTTTGCAGTACGTCCAAGTCAGAGGTCAAAGTCACAGCAAGACCATTTCGATCTTCTGTTTCCAATGCCGTTTCGTGCTCATTGCCCGGCCATGTATATATAATAAACAACCCTTGGAGGACAAGCAGCGAATCGAGTTTTTTTAGCTATTACAATTCATGGATTGAATGTGTTTGTTATCATTCCAGTTGCTTTAAATTGATCAGCCAGCAAAAGAAAAAAAAATGTGACTATAATCTTAGCATTTTTTTTTCGAACAATAAGGTGTTTCCTCTCGCACAACAGAAAGGGAAATCAAATTATGTGCATCTCGTAAGAAAAATGGGAGAGTATATATATAAGATATGCGCCAGATTTTATAAAGTCACTCTAATCTTTCTATCATGTGGTTAACATTACAAAGACTTCAGATCTAATATACTCATATCTATTGGATCCCGTTAGAGTAAAAGTACAATAGCAGACTACAAGTTAGCTATGAACATAAACATACGTGGAGATGATAAGAGAACAAAAGAGAAGAAAATTGATTTGTAGTCAGCTGTAACACGAACTTCAAATCGTTATGTGTATATGAAAGCTGGAGCCTGGGACTATATATGAATTAATATATTTTGATTGAAAAAATGGAAGACACAATAATGACTTCAAACGAATAAGTCAGGTCATCTGAAAACTCCAGCTTAATAATTATACTATGTAGTTACACTATAAAAAAATCATGCATGCTTGTATCTCAATTTTTTATTTTTATTATTTTAAAATTTACATAAATATATTTTCCTTATACAAAATTTACAAAAATATGCTTCTCAAGCCTTTTGGGAGAGTTTTTTTTTTTTATAAACTGTACTCCTGGAGTGTAGTTCAAATGACGTGGCGTATGGCATGGGAAATTGTGATGGTAGAATTTTGTATGTGGGCCATTCCTGCCCTCCATAGGGCAGTTTTTATATCACACCCACCCAAAGAGCAGGAATAGCCTATTGAACAAATGACAAAATTGCGAATGAGCAAACAATTGCATGCCTATCACTCACGAGAAAATCATGAGAAAATATGTCGACAGATTTTCAGCAATACTAGAAATTTACTCACTGACTTATATCACTTTCTACTAATGATAATACTGGCAATGAAACTAACTAACAAATTGTAGTAGTTATGAGTGCATGCTATACATAGGTATAGCGTTGAAAATAGTAAAGCCCTCTTTGAAATATAGAATAGGAAAAATATAGGAATTAAAATTGTATGTTTTTTCAATCTTATAAGAAATGAGAACATAGAAAATAGGAAGAGGTCGTTTTGATTGCACCACATGAAAAATTTAACCAAACGAAAGTTTCACAAAAAGTCTACATCTTACTTATTTCCTATGGAATTGATCATAGGAATGCCTATGGCAATTTTCCTATACTCTTCCATGAATCAAAGGGCTCTATATAAAAAATTCAAAGAAAAATGAATCCTCCAAAATTCCTCTGTCAATTCTCCATTTCAATGGGATCCTAATTAAGTAGCTAGAATAAAAATGTGATTCATAGTATCGGTATTGTTACCAAAAACAGTCAAGTAGAGTAAAAATGTGATTCGGATCCTTAAGCAGTTTGTTCAGCGTTACAATTAACGTGATTAATCGTATTGGTTGTCTATTTCCAGCCAGCGAGAGTACAAATATAGCCGAAGCACATCAGATCAGTTAAAATTTTGCAAAGGAAAAAAAAGAGAAAAGAATCCTCACATCTTCAATAGAACAAAACAAAAACGAGTCCCTATCTAAGATTAATCCTTCATCCATTTCATGTTTTGGCGCCAAATCTTCTTGCAGAGTCAGGGAGTGACGGGAGGATCGTGCCTAGGATCTGAAAATATCAATCACATTCAAAGATGAGCCCTGTGTGCAAGTCGTAATTCATCAAATTACTGAAATTAAATGATGAATTGATCAGCCAAAAAACAGATTTAATGAAATTAATTAATTCCTCGTTGCAACAACTAACCGTAGTTTGCCGAAAGAGATCTTGATGCTGATCTTCCAAGAACTAACCGACGGCCTCCTCGCTTCTCCAAGCTAATGATCACTGCCCCATCCGGCTTGCTATCAATCACTGACACACATATATAACGGCAACATTTTATTTAAGATAACGAAAAATATATTCAATCTGGTCTTTACTCAAAAGAAGCTATAGCCAATTATTACATATACCGGCAACATTACCATCAAGCTAAACAGAGCTTATTTAATTATAAGTTGTGTAGATTACATAGATTCAGTTCAGGGTCGACGCTAATTAAATACCTGAATTAGCTGAGACAGATCCGAAGAGAAACATTGGCAGCAACAAGATGGAGAGGATCAGAATTGCCTGAAGATGATGAGCACCTCTCATTGCTGTAAGTAAGCTGGTTTTCTGCTGCAATTTGCAATCATGGAGAAGACTGCACAGAGAGTGCGGCTCAATCGCGATGTTGATTTAGCATCTCCTATATATATAGAGATACACACACACACACACATGTTTGTGCGCCAATCTTGATACGATTTTGACTTTGGGAGATGATGTTCTACATGAGATTATTCAGCAATTGAAAGGAATGGAACGAGTCATATTATTCAGTCATAACCAGAAAAGCAATAGAGAAGTGCAAGTCAGCGGAGAGAGCCAGAGACCAGCTGCACAGAAACATTGTGAACATTTCCATTCTTTGTTTCCCCTCATACAAGTTGTATTTTAAGCTTAAAGTTTTATTAAGACATAGTTGACAGCATCATCAAAGTTACAAAATATTTTTGAATTTTTTCATGACTATTTGCTTAAAGTTTAAAATCTCGATGTTTAAATCAGTCATAGTGCTTTCAACCCATGTAAACAGTGATAAAAAAATCTAAAAATTATGAAGAGGTAATTTATAATGCATCTATGATCTTATCAAATTTTAGTGTAAAATAGAAACTAAAAGAGAAATACAGTTATGGAGTAAGGTGAGTCGTTTTCAATAGTTAAGAGAGTAAAATGAGCCGAGAAATCACTTAGGGGATAAGTGCTCCGAGGAAATATTTCAAAGGAGTAAAATGGATTTTTTTCCATTAATCCCCAAACAATAAATGCATTACAATAGATTGTGATAATGTTTAAGGACGGATATGTTTCAATTAATCCTTTCCCCTAACAAATGCATTACTGGCTATATGCATATATTATTACTCCCTGCATGGGAACTTCAATTAATATTGCCCTCCCTCTGATTTAGATATGCAGTTATTCACAGCATCAGAACGCCTACATAAACAAGAAGGCCACACCCTCCAATTTCCCTTTATCTGACCGTCCAAAAATTCCCCTCCAAACTGAACACACAATAACAAATCTCCATCATCAATGGAGCCTTCAGGCAAGCTCTCCTCTTCCGCCGTCGTCCTCGTCCTCCTCCTCGTCGTCGCCACCGGTATATTTACGATCAGAAAGATAAACAAATCCGGTCTTTTTTTAAGTATTTTTTAGTTGGGCATGTAGCCTACTGGTTATATTGACCTGAGTAGCACCCTAAAGTCTTGAGTTCAAATCTCCATAGGAGCGAATTTCGGATTGGGTTGTTTGATGAGCTAAGTTCCTAATTTAAAAAGGTTGCATACATCGGGTTGGATGTATAGGCCGGGTAAAAAATACTCTTCTCTAAAGAAAATAATAGTAAAAAAAATCTCTTCTGTAATTTTGTGCAGAGATGACGGGGATGGTGGTGGTGGTGCAGGCGAGGTTGTGCGAGAAGCCGAGCAGCCATTTCAAGGGGTTGTGCTTGCGGTCGCAGAACTGCGACAACGAGTGCATGCTGGAGGGCTACATGGACGGCAAGTGCAAGTACTTGACTCGACGCTGCATCTGCTCCATGGAGTGCGCCACCATGAGCAACGTTGGCCTGACGCCGACGAAGTGATGGAGACGTACTTGGAATGAATGAGTGAGTGAGTGAGTGAGTGAGTGAATGATCGATGAAACTATAGCTGACGCGGTTATATTAATTCACCGCTTGCAGTAATAAACTTTATACTAGAAGCTGGTCATTAGCTGTGGTAATACACTAATACTACCTACGGACCGTTTCAGGTTATAAGACTTTCTAGCATTGTCCATATTCATATAGATGTTAATGAATCTAGACACACATATATGTCTAAATTATTAGCATATATATGAATGTGGACAATACTAGAAAGTCTTATAATATAAAACGGAGGAAGTAGGATTGTTCATTGTTGTGTTGGATGCATATGCTAGCTCTTGTGATCTGAGTAATACAATTGTTGCGTTGGTTTTTTTTCAGATGACAGTTGCAAGTTAATTTGGTGGAGAACAGGCCTGCATTTCGGTTGGAACAAGAGAGTGGTTGTAATGAGTGTGATGACATAGAGAAGATAAGAGAAGAAAAAATTGGTGGGAGAGACAAAAATAGTGTACATTTCACACTTTATATGCCCTAGTCTGTACTAAGTCGTTCAACGAATAAATAGCATATTTTGGGAGACAAATCCAGTGGAATTATATATTTTTATGATCAAGTACATCTTTACACATCTCATTGGAAAAACTTAAAAACACCTATATTGTAGATAATATAATGGTATATGGATCTTGTAGCTGCAACATCCCCCTTTCAATCTCTCATCAATTTCCGGTCTATGGGGTGGCAGGAGAGACAGGACTGTAGTGTTCCCCATTAGGATCAAAGCCTGCTAATCATAAGAATATTACAAGGCATTTTCTATATTTTAATTGTTAAACACGCATGCATGGAAAAAAATTATGTACTTCTCCATTATATAACTACAAACACAGACTTTCAGTACTACCGCTAGAAAATAAATTTTGACATGTTGTTACTCATGTTCTAAAATGTATTTCAAGTTAATAAAACTAATAAAATTTACCACGACTACGATATATTTCATTAAGTAGGCACATATAATTTATAACTGGCGGAGAAGTAACCTGGATTTCGGTAGAACAGAATTCGACGATGCCTATTAGTTGCCAAGCCTAGAAATAACCGACGTACTGGATGCTTCTTCTCCCAGTTGATTACTATCCCGTGAGATTTGTCTACATTCACTGCAACCAAAAACAAAATAAAGATGAGCACAATAAGCCATTCGTGTTTTCCAAAAAAAGAATAAAAGTGAAATTGTATGATTTGCCTTAACAAACAGTCGATTATATGATTTATCATTGACGAGTACGAGTTTTATAATATACCATCACATAAGCCATTTTTTTTTACCGTTTTGTCATTGTCATGAGTTGACCATTTGTTGACCTCTATTAGCCCCAACGAAAAGTCCATTCTGCCTTTAAAAAAATGTAACATACACTAAGCAAGCACATATTTTCTTCACTGATATTGAAATAATAGTAGATTTTATTGTATTATTTGCAACTGGCAGCAAAATGGCATTAGATATTGCAAGGGTATTTTAGGTATTATGAAAAATACAAAGAGATAATGGAGGTTGACTGGCGGTGATGGAAAAAAAAAGGGGGAAAAACAGAGGGTATATTGTAGAACTTGACAATATAATGAAAATTGTAGAATTTTTCAAAACGTAATGTCTGTTTCATACTATTTAACAACTGATCATGCATGCATTTATTTCATTACAGTAGTAAATGGGAAAATAGCTACTGGAAGATTTTCCATCAATTTTTAGCCATCAAAAGCGATAACACTATATATAATTTCCGGCCCCTTCGAAGTGTAACTTTGTTCATCTCCAAGTCCCATTAATCCATTCAAAATCAAGACAACCAAATTACACCTGATTAATAAAATGTAAAAAAAGACAAAACAAAAGGACATGGCAATTAATTAAAGAAACAAATTTGCAAGAGAGCTCACCTCCGGCGTGCTCACGACGGCCGGCGAGACATCCGGGCAGCAGCAAGAGGGACACCAGTAGTACTGCCACCTGCAACGAGACACGGAGCCTCCGGCGAGCAGCCGCCATTGCGATCGCTCGGCCTCTCAATTCAGATTTCAGAGCTAATTAAGAGATGTGTGTTCTCGCAATTCAGATTTCAGAGCTAAGAGATGTGTGTTCCCGCAACGCATGCAGGGAGCTATTTCAATGGCCGGCCGGCCGAGAAGGAGACGACGACCAGCAGCGGCGACGTCGATGGAACGACGGCGACGTGGAGCTTTGCTACTTGCTACTCCCTCCGTTTCCAAATATTTGACACCGTTGACTTTTTAGCACATGTTTGACTGTTTGTCTTACTAAAAAAAATTTATGAAATATGTAAAACTATATGTATACATATAAATATATTTAACCATGAATCAAATGATAGGAAAATAATTAATAATTACTTAATTTTTTTAATAAGACGAACGGTCAAATATATTTTAAAAGAGTCAACTGTGTTAAATATTTAGAAACGGAGAGAGGATATCTGCTTAGGCTGATTCGTGTGGACTCGTTCAGTATGAAACTGATCTGTTTTGGGTGGAATTCCTGCATGATTCCTACGTTAATTACAGACAATTATTATACCTACTTGGTCTCGGCATGTATTGGCTTGAATATTTGGCATCTGAATGCTTCAGTTGTACTTCAAAGGTAGAGAAAACTAGTGAAGTCAGGTCAAGGTAATATTATTAACTTACTATACATTGTTCACGTCAGTAGCTGAAATTGACTGGAATCGTGAATCGTCCGGTAAATATGAGCATTATTGTCAGTTGATGGTTTCGTCAGCCCATAGAGCGACCAGTTTGTGGTCAAACTAGTTTAGTATACGAAAATAAATTATGGTAAGGTAATCATCCAAGGAGTCATGAACATCATCACTTCATCTACTCGTCCTGTAGCCTTAAAAGTGTCATTGACATTCTTCTAATCATGGTTTGAATAATTGAACACATTTGTTTGAACAATACGACTGATGTATATTATGTGTATCAAAGTCCAACAGGAGTTACAAGACCATGTCGAGTACGCTCCTCTGCTTTGTAATATTCTAATCTGACGTAATAGTTCTGAATTACATACACAAGGTAACTAGCAAGTGGAACAACACTGTCAGTAAAAATTATATGGTGACCATGCAAATGAAAAGTCACCCACATCAAGTGCTACCTGGGAAAATTCAACAACGGTTGTCTGTCTGGGTAAAACAGAAGATGCATGAGATTGCTCGAATACTATTACCTTGTCAATCCGTTCTTTGCCTTACAAGAATCATGTTTTTTTTTTTGTGTGGGTCTACTGTTCATCTCATCTTCATCAACGCTCATGAACAGGCAATGTCTGAAGTATCGTCGAATGCACAGATTCCCTCGCTTGCCACCCGAGGCCAATATGAACCAGGTCCTGAAAAGAAAAGCGACAGGCAGATTACATATAGAAGTACGTGTTGTATGGATAGGTTCATATGCGAACCGTACTGATGTTTTATTCGACCATTGCCTATAATTTTACCTACTGGTTGGATAAGCAAGGCTCGTTGCAAAAGCGTGCCTTGCAGATATGTATACTGTTAAAGTGATAGCAACAAACCAAACTGTGGCATATAAAACTAGATCAGTAAGCTGTTTGTAAACTACTCTCTCCGTTCTGAAATATAACTCTTTCTGGTTATGTATCTGGATAAGGGTATATCCATTATGTATCTAGACAAGGGTATTCCTAGATACATAACTAGAAATTGTTATATTTTAGCATGGAGGTAGTAAATGATAAGTTGTTAAGCGGTGCCTTGTACTATTTACCACATAGGTCACTGGAAATTGATGTGTTCCATCCAATGAGGAAGGATATGGAAGACTGATTAGAAGGATAGTTTTCTATGTGCATAGAAGTGTTCCATCTAAAATCACTTGAGTAGCATGTGACTAAAATGTCTTATTAGTACAGGTGTTCAGAAAAATGATTCATAAAAGAAACTGCAGGTATAGCAATTTGAAATTACAGGTCACATGGATAAATTCACAAATTACATGGACTCAACATGAAATACACTTTGTGCATAATACATTGCATGCCAAAAGTCAGTTTCGTTTGCAAGATAGTAAGACAGGTCAGAAAGAACCAATATGGAATGGAGAGGATTCTTGTCAACACAGGAAGCTACTATTATTTAGTGTTGTGCATCTATCCATCCAACTGTTTATCAGCTTAATTGTCTTCTTCAGCACGCAAGTTTTTCCGTTAAAAGTCATCACCAAAATTCAGCGCATACATTTGTTGACACAGTGCCAAATGACATCAGTTATATTACAGTGTTGGAACACAACTTAGGCACACTCCAATATAAAATCAAATATAGTTATGTATAATGTAATCCTTCAGTCCATGTTGCATGGATGGCATTACATCAGATGTTTCCACAAATAATAGAACATTGGATGGCAAGAAGCAGTCAAACACATAATTTGTGATCAATGTGAGAAAATGAAGTCAACTCAAATGTGTGACATAAGAAACAATGCTGCAACAGAATCATACCTTTTTTCCTATAGTTTGAACTCAATTTTGCATTGGGGAAAGAAGCAGTATGCCCAACTCATTGGAACTTACAAGTATAAGACAAGTGCGGGCATGTCTGTACTTAAGTTGCCACAAGCAAAAGCAAGCGAAGATGATCCGCTTGTTTGCTTCCTTCCCAAAACTCATTCCACTCTTGGCTGTCTTCATCTTCTCGTGTTCCCTGCCAATAGCGATCAGTGATGACACTGATACTGATAGAGGAGCCCTGCTCTGCTTCAAGTCTCAAATCTCTGATCCTAATGGAGCCTTAAGGTCTTGGAGCAATACATCCCTGGACTTCTGCAACTGGCAGGGTGTTTCATGCAACAATACACAGACCCAAATCCGAGTCATGGGACTAAACATCAGCTCCAAAGGACTCAGTGGCTCAATACCACCTTGCATCGGCAATCTGAGCTCCATTGCAAGCCTCGACTTATCAAACAACGCCTTTCTTGGGAAAATACCAGCTGAGCTCGGGCACTTGGGACAAATCAGCTACCTCAACCTGAGCATCAACTCTCTTGAAGGCCACATTCCAGATGAACTGTCTTTGTGCAGCAAACTCAAGGTACTCAGCTTATGCAACAACTCCCTCCAAGGTGAGATACCACCAAGCTTAACACAATGCACTCACCTCCAGCAAGTTGTGCTTTGCAATAATAAGCTCCAAGGCAGAATTCCCACCAAATTTGGGATGCTGCATGAATTGAAAACTTTGGATCTCTCCAACAACGCCCTCACAGGTGACATACCACCATTGTTGGGCAGTAGCCCATCTTTTGTATATGTTGATCTTGGGGGCAATCAGCTCACAGGAGGAATCCCGGAGTTCTTGGCAAATAGCTCATCCCTTCAAGTGCTTAGTCTCAAGCAAAATAATCTTACAGGGGGGATCCCACTAGCCCTCTTCAACAGCTCCACGTTGACAACCATTTACCTTAACCGTAACAACTTAGTGGGTTCCATACCACCAGTTACAGCAATTGCTGCACCTCTTCAATTCCTTAGTCTAGCCCTGAATAAACTCAGAGGAGGGATACCAGCCTCACTGGGCAACCTTTCTTCCCTGGTTCGTCTTTCTCTAGCAGTAAATAACCTGGTGGGGAGCATCCCTGGGAGCCTAAGTGAACTCCGAAAACTAGAGAGGTTAATTCTTACATATAACAACTTGTCTGGTCCTGTGCCCCAGTCAATTTTCAACATGTCATCTTTGCAATATCTTGAAATGGCCAATAACTCTCTCATCAGCCAACTACCACCAGATATTGGTAACAGGCTTCCAAACCTACAAAGCTTGATCCTATCAATGACACATCTAAGTGGGCCAATCCCAGCTTCTCTTGCTAATATGTCTAAGCTAGAAATGATTTATCTTGTTGCTACTGGGCTCACCGGGGTAGTGCCGTCCTTTGGGTTATTGCCAAACTTGAGAGATCTTGATCTGGCATACAACCATCTTGAAGCAGGTGACTGGAGCTTCCTCTCATCCCTTGCAAACTGCACCCAACTGAAAAAATTATGCTTGGATGGTAACAGTCTCGAAGGAAGTTTGCCTAGCTCGGTTGGTAATCTTGCCCCACAGCTTGAGTGGTTGTGGCTCAAGCAAAACAAAATTTATGGGACAATTCCCTCGGAGATTGGTAACCTTAGGAGTCTCACTATTCTGTATATGGATAACAATCTGTTCAGTGGTCACATCCCACCTTCCATAGGAAATCTTAGTAATTTACAAGCTCTAAGCTTTGCACTAAATGATCTCTTTGGACAAATTCCAGATTCCATTGGCAACCTTGCCCAACTAATCGAGTTTCATATAGATGGGAACAACTTTAGTGGGAGTATACCATCAAGTTTATGGCACTGGAAGCATTTAGAGAAGCTTGATATCTCTGACAATTCATTTTTCGGATATATTCCACCTGCAGTAGGAAATCTGAGCAGCATACGCGATCTAATATTTGCAAGAAATAATTTCTTTGGACATATTCCATCTACCGTAGGAAATTTGAGCAACCTCTCTATTCTAAGCTTTGCACAGAATAATCTCTTTGGACATATTCCAGAGTTCGTTGGCAATCTTGTCAAACTAACCAATCTTTTTCTACATGGCAACAGCTTCAGTGGAAGCATACCTTAAGTTTGAGTCTATTCTCTAATAGCATACACTCTTTTATAATTTAAAAAATACCGCAAAAACAATATCTTTCTTTAATAGCTTTGCTACCATGCTATTCTGGTAGAAGACACTCAACTCCAATGCTCTCTCCAATTCACATTCCCAACATAGAGACAAAGGCAGGCCTACTATTGAGACAAGGTGCACTACTGATTCAAGAAATACTGGAGACAATCTGTTGTAGCAACAAAGATGCTTTAAGAGTTTGCAAGTCGCGTGGCTGATAGTTTTAAGGTCATACATTTGGTCCATCTGTCAATATGGGAGTTGTACCAATGGTGTCATAAGTTGTGATGTATTGCATATAGAATATAGAAGAAAGTCTACTTGGTCTTGTGAACTTTGGTGATCCATGACATGTGGGACCATGACAAGCATGTATTGTGAATTTGTGATATGATCATA